CGGAGGGCCCGTGTGCAAGTTGTGCACGTTAAAGATCCCTTGGTGGTCTAAAATCGATGAGAGTAGGCTTCGGCCGGCAACCGGGCAAAGTTCAAAATGTCCTACAACTGAAAAAGTTCAATGTGTCCTGCGCGCTCATATGACCTTATGCAGTTGCGAGCGCCGTAAAACACGTACAAAAACAAACAAACAAACAAGTAGAAAGACCGAGGTAAAAGAGAAAAAATGATCACTTGTACCCGACAGCGAAGTGCCACTTTAGTGTCATGTTTTCGCTACACTATAGACGCCGGTATGATATCTGTTTGTGTATGTTCGTCAGTGTGACTGTCTCTACTGTGTGTGTGTTGTTGTAATGTATGTTCGTCAGTGTGACTGTCTCTACTGTGTGTGTGTGTTGTAATGACGTCTGTTTCTGTGAGTCTGTCAGTGTGGACTACTCCTACATAATACAGTGTATTTGACTTACATGTACAAGGAAACAAGCTGTATGGTAAGTCCATTAGTGTGACTATTACCACGAGAATGGATGTGTCTTTGTAATGAGCATTGGTTCTAGAAGTAAACTATTGTATAATGTTACGTGGTCGTCCTTGGTGAGTGTATGCACAAGAATTGAAGTACGTTCCTTTGAGCTTATCCTTTCATAACAACACTTGGCCTACCCCCCTCCTCCTCCCCCCTCCCTTTCCGCCCTGTTGCCTGTTGTCCTCAATGGTTGGGGTTCCAATCTCAGAGGACACAAGCACGAGCGGACCAGCCTCTGCAACCTCCACCAATGGCGGGGACATGACAGCCACAACCACCATGAAGCCAGCCACACAGCCCGCTTCCTCGGTGTTACCCACGACCACCCCGCCCCCTCCCACACAGCCCGCTTCCTCGGTGTTACCCACGACCACCCCGCCCCCTCCCTCCCAGACAATGATGACACAGACGATGTCCTCACAACCTCCAACCACGCCCTTCACGGAGCAGCCCCCGACGACAACGGCCAAGATGAGCACTCAGCCAATCACAACGCGTCCTCCCACGACCACGCCGTCCAGGGAGGGAACAACGTCCAGCCCACCGCCGGCCCCACAGACAACATCTCCCGGGGGTGAGTCAGTCACAGTCGTTGGCCTCTCTGTTCGCAGGTGGTGCTTTGTCTGTTTGTATTGGTTTATCTGTTCGCAGGTGGTGCTTTGTCTGTTTGTGGTGGTTTGTCTGTTCGCAGGTGTTGGTCTATCTGTTTGTGTTGGTTTATCTGTTCACATGTGTTGGTTTTTCTGTTTGTATTGGTTTATCTGTACACAGTTGTTTGTTTATCTGTACACAGGTGTTGGTTTATCCGTCAGTAATGGTCTGTCTTTTCATAGCTATTGGTTTATCTGTTCACATCTATAGGTCGGTATTGGTCCATCAGTTTGTATTCGTCTGTTTGTTCACAGCTGTTTGTCTATCAGTTGGTATTTGTCTGTCTAATTGAGGCTACTGCTTTATCTGTTCACAATGTTTGGTCTGTCTGTACATATGATCATTGGTCTGTCTGTACGTATGATCATTGATCTGTCTGTACATATGATCATTGGTCTGTCTGTACATATGATCATTGGTCTGTCTGTACATATGATCATTGTTCTGTCTGTCAGAGATATCAACTCTCACTTTGTACAACGTGACTGGAATGATAACACCAGCAGAATTACATATAATATACAGTTTTATTGAAAGTGTCCGAGCACAGAAATGACTAGTAGACTATGGTACAGTATGGTCTGTTTCAGATCTGTTTTCAGAAAGAAGTAGGAACACCAGGCCACCTTTTTTACCTTAGTATATTTATAATTTTGATTTTTATTTATCTCGTCTTAGAGTTGAGCGTTTTAGTTTCGAATTTTTAGAAACGCGTGAATACTTTAAGAAAAATTCTCATTCCAGGTTTTCGAGTTGAGAAGATTGTGTTTCTTGCTGGACTGTACAGGCGGCTCCCTGTGAGCTGTAAATATTCTTTTATTGATTAAACTGTTTTATACGAATGCAATGGCGACACATAGAAGGAGTACGAACCGTCACATATTACTATCGTTATGTGCAATGTACAATGTACAATAGAGAATATGTCAATAAAGTTACAAAGAAAATCCTCCCCACAGCCAGCCGGTGAACCTCTCGAAGTCTCACCATTATGACGTCAACATTTACGGGGGTCCTTTCCACAAGCCTCGTTTTCATTCTAATTTAGCGGAAACCTTTTTGATGGATATTTCAATGAGTTGTAATCGGCCCTATCATACATGGTCGCCGAGCTTCTGTGTAAAACTTGAATTCCTGTTGTTTCAACGTTTCTGCTGTTCCTTTCTGCATTTGTTTGTTTGGGTTTTGTTTGGTTTGTAGTTTAAAATAATAGCTCGAGGTGCGACACCATGACAGATTAGTGTATTCAAAGCCTTGGCAGTTATTGCTCGAGCATGGCTGGCACTTATAGTCGAGTCTTATTATCAAACAGATTCTCATATCATCACATCACTAGTTCTATATATTTTACAATAGATTGTCATCAAATTCCCGCTCAACAGCAAGCTCTATGCGCCTCACAATCTATACTATTATCTCAGCAGACCTGAGAGCATTCTGAAACAAACTCAACTTCCTGGGAAGCATACAGTGCAAGCAGCCATTTATAGGCGCTAAAACACTAACATACTGATAAGATCTTTCGCTATCTACACTCTCTCTATATATTCTACAATTGATTGTCATACCATCATATCGCTCTCTCTATATATTCTACAATAGATTGTCATACCATCACTTCACTCGTTCTATATATTCTACAATAGATTGTCATATCATCATATCGCTCTCTCTATACCTTTACTTTCAATATGAAAGAATCAGCAGCAGGAAAGTCACCCGCTGTATGGGAGAGCACGGCAGTCATGACGTACATTGGACGTGTTTTCCCCATCTATTTTGTCATTTCTTCTGTCGTCGTCGTTATTGTTTCTGATGTTGCTGCTGTTGCTGTTGCTGTTTCTGATGTTGCTGCTGTTGCTGCTGTTGCTGCTGTTGCTGCTGTTGCTGCTGTTGTTGCTGTTGTTGCTGTCGCTGTTTCTGATATTGCCGTTGTTGTTGCTGTTGCTATTGCTGTTGCTGTTTCTGATGTTGCTGCTGTTGTTGTTGTTGTTGCTGTAGGCTGCGCCGGACAGAAGGCTGACGTCATATTCCTGCTGGACGCCAGTTCCAGTGAGGGGTCCACCAACTTCCGGAAACAGCTGGACTACATTACGTCACTGGTGGGATCTCTAGACGTGAGCCAGGACCACATACGGGTGGGTGACGTCATCTTTTACGTCACTGGTCAGAGTAGGTGACGTAATGCGTTACGTCACTGGTCAGAGTAGGTGGCGTTATGTAGATTCCAAGTACAGGTTCTTGCAAGCAATACAGAACATGAGATAAAGAATCTCAAGTACAGCTTCAAAGCACACTTGTATA